CATGATCTCAGGGTCATGAGAACAAGCCCCAGGTCGGGCTCTGCACTCAGCATGGAGCCTGCTTGAGATTTTCTCTCTCCCTCTGTTCCTCCCCCTGCTCTCTAAATAAATAAATATCTTTAAATTAAAAAAAAAAAGAATAGAGATCATTGACATCCAATACCCCACCCTTTTTGGTCAGCCAACGGATCAAGACCATCCAGCATGCACAACCTATCATGCACATGGCACTGTGTTCTAGGCCTTCCTAGATCTTACTTCAGTCATCTAATATTCTGTCTCTATATGTAGATTTATTTATCATGGCCACAGAGTTGATATTCTTGTTATTGATCAATTTTGAATGAGCTAGTACTGAGGATAGAGCTCTGTGGTGTGCCCCTCAGAGCCTCTGTTTAGACTGACATCATTCTCTTCATCAGCACACATGGAGCATCCAAATTCAATCAATACTAATATGATTTGCAACAAGGACATTTTTCTTTATCTGGTTTATAAGAATATTACAAGATACCAACTTTTTTTCTGATATCAGACAAACTTTGTCAGTGGTATTTCTACAATAGGAACTTTTAATATATCACCTTTGGTGAATGAGTTAAAGTTGATCTGATATAGTTCTTACCAGTGTTTTCATTCTCTATCTAGCCACCACTTATTTTTCTGATAGATGAATTTAATAATTATAATTATTTAAAGTATTAAGCTATGTTTTATGTCCAACTCATATACCTATTAATAAACATAATTTATTTTCTTTCCATCTTGCTTATCACTGGTCTTCTGGAATTTATGTTCTACATAGTTACTCCAAGATGTCAGCAGACTTACACATATATTTTGGGATATATTTTGTCATTGCCAAGAATTTAATATTATTTATAGGAGAATGTCACTACTTTTTTTCACCCACATTGCCAAGGAAGTAGTCATTATATGAGAATACTAAGTGGGAGAGATGGATAGCAACTCTTCTCTGTTTCCAAAGTGCAGCTTTCAAACTGTAGCTGTGTAGATTTAGTTGTAGATAAGATCCTAACCGAAATAAGCATTACAATGGCTTCTGAGACAGTATCTATATAGTTTTCTTATTTCTAGATACTTAAGGAAATGGAACAATATTGACAGGAGTGAAAAAACATCAAAGAACATACTTGATTTTTTTTTTAACCAAAACATCCTAAATATGAGATGTTAGCACCCCATACTCATTTCTTCCTTATACTGCATTTGATTTTAATCCAGAATAGCAGTAAGCAAGGGATTCATGAAATTTTAGGTTCTGATCAGATCTGTCATTCTAGAACACATTTTTTAAACTGCAAATATGTTTTAAAATCACCTTGTGAGTTGACCACTAGATATTTAAAATCTGACTTTTTATATGCCAACATAAAGAGATACAGCTTCAAATTTTGTCATATAATTGTTATGACTTCAAGTAGATTGCTTTCATGCATAGCGTTTCAACCACAGGTAGCCAAAATCTGTGACTATATCCACTAGTAAGTAGAATAAACCGGATCAGCTTTTCCTCTGGACACTAAACTTTTCCTACACTGGAATGTAAGCGTTAGTATAACAAGCTCAGCAAACAGGATAATGTTAGAAAAGCATTCTCTTAAAAATTTATAAAAATATTATAATTTCAATTTTCAATTTGAATATTATAGCAGTGTACAAAATAATACACATTTCCTGAAAGGAGAGCTTTGGCAAGAATATTGACCAATTACTACCAAAAAAAAAAAAAATAGAACCAATGAGAGCTAAGACTCTGGGGATTCTGTGATATTAATTGAAACTTTATATTTTCTACTATTTGAAGATAATCTTATTTAAAGTGCCTGGATTCTTAAGTTAACCACTTTATACATTAAAAGGTACATTATTATTTCAATATGCATATTTAAATAGACTTATATTGAAAGCCAATGGGTATGTAACATATAATATTTTAAAATCTAGCACATCTACTATAAATTAAGGATATCTGATTGTCCTATGAGGTAAACATAGTGCTGTGAAGTTGTAAAATACACTTACATAAGAGTTTATTAATGTGATTTCTAACATATTTTTGGAAGACTGGTTCTATATATGTGACTCAAATGTCAGACAATCCTACCTATTACCTTCTAGAGTTTAGTGAGCTGTTTAGAGCCATCGAATTTTAATACTGATTTTCAGTTTCAACACTCCAATTTTAATGATGAAATATTTCTAGAGGTATTAACTTATTTCTCAAGACTAATAATTTAGTTTTTTTTTTTTTACCTGGTGCTGGCTAGAACTACTGGTATTACTTTCAAACTATACATATACTTAGGCAGGTCATATGTAAAGATTGAGTGGGGAAGTTAATCCTTAATTATCTGAAAGTTTTATATTAGTTTAATTTTTAGGTTGCTAAATTCATTATGGTTTAGACATAGTAATTTATTTTACTGGCTGTTCTTCAGAGAATTTAATGTATAATATTTGAAATTGAGCATAATTCCTGCAGATTGTGGGAGAAAGAGAAATGGAAGTAATGCTTCTCAGTGGTGGCAGAGATCTCAATGACTTGCCTAAATTTCATTTATTCTTGTTCATGTGTATTTGGGGGCTCCACTACTCTTTTATTACTAGAAGGCTGACTCAGAGTTGTTTATGGAGTTTTTTCTTTCCCCACAGTCATCATGAATTTGTACTGTCATAACCGATACCCTCTTATTTAATCTCTGAAGTCCAATCTGTATTATCAAGGATGTATTCTTTAAATGATAGTGCTCATCCAGAGTAGGATTTACATCTTTAACCTAAGTTGTCATATTAAAATATAAAAAATTAAAGTGCTCATCCAGAGTAGGATTTACATCTTTAACCTAAGTTGTCATATTAAAATATAAAAAACAGATGATTACTAGATAAATAACTGTATCCCAGACCATATCAGACAATATTTTAATTTTAGGTTCAAATAAAGAAATTAGGAGAAAAGCCAGCTCTATTTTGAAATTTAAAAGTTTTAGACAAAATGAGTGTTACTTCTGAGATACCGATGATCATTCTAATATGTGCCTGCGAAAGAAATCCAAGGGCAAGGTGATTTATTATGAGAAGTCCATGCCATGGATGTCATTTTGTCTTATTTTAGCCCAGAACACAGTATGACAGAAATATGGACTGGAACTTCTAAATGTCTTACTTTTTGAAATGTTCTAGAAGGGTCACTCTCTCAGTTTGAATTGGTATTTATACTTTGGAATTGTAGAGTAATGAAATAAAAAGTAAATATTTATGCCTTGTTCTCATCAGTTATAGATGGGCAAAGACAAAAATATTCCCTCTTGCTTCTCTTCCCTCTGGGACTCAAATAAAAAATAAAACGGAGCACTCACATTAACTTTTCATTTCTTGCTAGACAATATTACATGCATATGAGAAAAAGAGAACAATCATCAACAATTACTGGGCTTATTTTAATTTGTTTAGGAGTGAACAAGAAAAAAATGTAAAAAAAAAAAAAAGAGATGCCTAAACCAAAAGAAAGAAATAAAAGATGGGAAACTAAGTGGGTACTATAGACACAGACATTATTCTGAAATAGCTATCAGTTATTTAATGTGATAACCCCTAAAACATAGCTATAAAAAATATGATTCTCAAAAGTATTCTGAAATATGAGCAAGATGTTGGAAAATGAGCTGAAACCACAAAGTAGAAAGAGAAACTGTTCATTTAAGATGTGTGTTATTGATGTTCTTCTAGATTTAGGGTTTTTTGTTGTTGTTTTGTGCTAAAGGCATAGTTTAATTGTGCACTTCATTTTTAAGGTAAGTTTCTTTGAAAAAGAAATAAGTCTATAACTTTATCCATATTATAGGCTGAAATGACTAAATTAATGTGCAGAAGTTCATGCTACTTTTTGTTTTCAAATACTAGAGACCATGATAAAATGTGAACTGAACATAAATCTTATCTTCCATTATTTAATGATAACAGGAAAAGCATAACAGTACTAAAATGGAATCAATTTGCTACATTAGATTTTAAAATGTGATTGATCTTTGTTAAGTGAGAATTTGTAGGTAAGTGGTTTTTAAATTGTTGAGTGTTTTTTCAAGGGAAGTGTTCATGTAGTAAGGAGTAGTTCTACATAAATAAATGAATCGCAAATGGAATAAATAATAATTGGCCTAATCAGTATGACTCTTTCATCTTTGGGAAAACCTCTCTGATTTGTATCAGGAACACATCGACTGGAGAGAGGAAGATGGAATAGATGACTCTAGGATTCTTTTCAACTCCACAGATTTTTTAAAAATCTCGCTTGAGTCATATGATGATAGAAAAGAAATCTTCATTAAAGAAATCCTAATAAAATGTCAATATAATAATTTTTAGAGGCTTTTTGTTTCATCTGAATTGTTCAAAAATAAGCTTTTTCTTGCCACCCACTAAGTCATAGAAGAGCATTGGTGCAGCCCGCATCTCTTCACCAGGCTTGCATGATGGCTGGCTAGAAACCACATGGGGCTGGGGGCGTAGGGGAGGCCTGTGTAGGGGGAGAGGGATGGGTAGATGGATATTTGGAAATTATAGCACCTACTAGGAGAGATTCCTGGGGTAAAAGAAGCTGCTGGAAGATTAGAGGACATCAGAGGCATTCTGTTCAATAAAGGACAAAGGTAGCTATAGCCGCAGAAACATAATCACTGGAACTTCAACTGAAATTTCAGAAGTTTCAGGTGGAGTAATTGAGAGCACTCTGCAAAAGGTAATGCAAGTCCTGCTGTAAGAAACTGACTGTATTCCAGACTGATACTGTACATAGACAGTGCTTATAGAAGACATGAAGAAATTAAAAGAAAAAATTGATACAGAGAGTGAAAACATGACAAAAAAAATAAGAGTAAAACATCCCATCGCATTATATTAAAATGCCATGACTAGGCTTTCCCCTCTCTGATGGGCCACTAACACAAATGCTAGGTAAAATGATAATGGAACAGTACCTTTCTTTTAGCCTTTAGCTGCTCATGATACTTGTCACAGGTATCTCCTGGGATCTCTCCTCCCCAGAGAGTAATTCCAACAATGGTGTATGTGACACCCATGACGAGCAATGGGAAGCAGTACACCAGTATAATGACAATAATATGGTAACTGCAAGAGATGAAAAAAAATGCTGAAGAGCATATTGAGATGCAATATGTGGAACTCTGAATTCATTCCCTTTTAAATAATAATGGAAAATTCCAAAGATTACTTCCACATTTGCTCCAAGTCCTCATTTCCCAAATCCATCAAGATATCATGTTATTGTCTACTACAGGCATCCAAATGCTGCCAGTTGATCTTGGTCAATCTCTGATTCACATGCAAAAACTATAGGGGCATTGCAGTGCTGATTTAAACCATCCCTGTTCTCCCTGCCTAGAGGTTCAGGATGAATGCTATTTCTCTGCTTGGTAATTGTTCAGTTAATCTAATTAAATTTATCATCAGAGAGAAAGAGGTAAGGCCAACTAAACGAATCAACTGACTGATATTTTCTCATATGTAAAATTATTCTATATATCTCTGCAACAACAGTCATATTTGAAATAAATTGTTTTTTATCTGAATAAAAAATGTAACTGGATACTCTAAGCCAATTTTGGATCCACAAGCTATATGACTGTAATTTAAGAAAATCAGGTAATGACATTTTCATGCATTTCTCCAATGTCATGACACATGTGATAGCATTATTAATTTGGTAAATAACATTCAGATGTTTTAGTCACACCAGTGTCATGATACTATTTAGCAAACTAAATTCTAGGACTTCATAGCTTTCAATCAAAATTATAAGGATGCAATTGGGGAGGAATAGGAGGGCAACTGATAATATAACCACACAATTAGAATTTGTAGAAGTTTTGCGTAATTTCCACTGTCTTAGGAAGGCTTTAAAGTAATTAAAGAATTTGGAACACTAGTCGTCTCAATATCTGTTTCTTTGTAAAGAGAATCTTAAATCTCCTTGCCTTCCCGTTTCCTGATAGCTTATTAAATATTGAATTACCGTCAGTGGGAAGGAATTCAGGCAAAAAATAATTGAATTTTATTATCATGGTTACTTTTATTTTGTTATACAGCTAAGATTTATTAATATCAGAATAACAGTACTCGGTTTAATAACTGCTGCCTTCTTTTCCTTCAGTAAATATTTCTTAACATTTTTATTTAAAAATCTGGACTCTGGGCAGTCAGAGAAAGACAAATACCATATGATTACACTCATATGTGGAATTTAAGAAACAAATGAGCAAAGAAAAGAAAAAGAGAGAGAAACAAATTAAGAAACAGACTATTAACTATAGAGAACAAACTGATGGTCACCAGAGGGAAGGGTGGTGGAGGGATGGATTAAATAAGTGATGGGGATTGAGGAGTATACTTGTGATGAGCACCGCGTATTATATGGAAATGTTGAACCACCATTTTGTACAGCTGAAACTAACATTATACTGCATGTTCACTAACTGGAATTAAAATAAAAACTTAAAAAAATCTGGACATTGGGTATAGACCAGTTTGATAAAACAGCTGCTTTAAAGGATGACCATTATATTTGTATTACTTGTTATTGTTAAAGGGAAAAATAGGACACTACATAAGATTTTACTGAATTAAAATTTAAATGATCACAAGAAAAAATGCAAACAAGGGCATCTGGGAGGCTCAGTCAGTTAAGCTGCCAACTCTTGACTTCAGCTCAGGTCGTGATCTCAGGGTCCTGGAATCGAGCCCCATGCTTGGGAGCACGGAGTCTGCTTGGGATTCTCTCTCCCTCTCCCTCGGCCCCTCCCCCAGTCTCTCTCTCTCTCTCTCTTTGTCTCAAATAAATAAATCTTTAAAAAATGCAAACAGTTGCCCAGTTATGTTTTTTTTTTCTTTTTAAAAGATGGGCCCAAAATATGAAATACCAAATTCTATCGTATAGAATTCGTATTTCCATTCTAACCTAGTGTTTATGTTTCTTTAATGCTAAAAGAAAGGAACACAACTAAGAGCCTACTAGAACTGCCTTTCCCTGGCCAGGATTTTAAAAGGGCAGCCAACACCTTTGGGCTTCAGTTCTTCTTTTCTCATTCTTTTCTCAATCAATAATAACCCTGCTTTCGTTTGTGTAATGCTTTCATCTCCAGGGATCTTATCACCTCCTCCAGGAAACTCTCTAGCTCTACCCCATATAAATGTCATCAAATTTTTCCTATTAGAAACCTTTGTAACTTATAAAATTTATTGATCATATCATATTGTAGTATTTTAAACCTTTTTTTAAAAAAAGATTTTGGTTTTAAGTAATCTCTACACTCAATATGGGGCTCGAACTCACAACCCTGAGATAAAGAGTTGCTCTACCCACTGAGCCAGCCAGGCACTCCATGTATTACAATATTTTAATATGTCTATTTTCCCAAGTAATGTGTGAACCCTTGGGAGGAAATGCTTATATCTTATTTGCTTAATTGTTTCTCCCAACCTGTAGTTTCTCAAGTGTTCAATAAATTGAACTGAAAACCACAATAGAGAATTAACTTACGTGAAATGTTGTTTGGGACCTTCTGGCCATTGCACGTAGCAAAGAGTACGGCCTGGCATGACTTTAATTTTGGAGTAAAGACACTGAGGGAAGGCAAGTAGGAATGCTAGAATCCAAATACTTCCAATGACGATCTTGGTTGCTGTGGCAGACAGTCTGGGTTTCAAGGGATCAATAATGGCCATATACCTATATAAAAACAAACAAAACCATTTTGTTGAATCTCTTGCTACAGAGTTAAAAATGGAGATTCAAAGGAGTTATCTCTCTGGTAAGCAAGTTAATGAGGATTTTGCTTAGGTAGAGGCAGCATAGAATGATAATCACATCATAGTCTTAGGAATCAGGCAGATTAAGTTTCAAATCCTATTCTGTCACTTATTTAACCTTTTTGAATCTCAGCTTCATTATTTTAAAAATAGAAATAAGAACACCCACCTCGTAGGGGGTGAAGTCAAGATTAATAGAAACAATGTAAGTGAAAGGTATTGATTATTTGGTGCTGTGCCTAGCACATTATCAGAATTCATAAATGTCTGCTGAATGGAATTGGAAAAGTGTGTAGTAAGTGCTTAAAAATATGAGTTCTGTACCTCAAGACCTCCATTTTTCTTCTGTATGTTTACCTGTTTGCAAGAAAATTCTAGAGAACTAATATGGATATGATGGACAAAGATGAGGAACCCCTATAAAGATATCATCAACAACTTCATTTAAAAACATCAGGATACAAGTTCAGGATTCAGATAATAATGAATAAGTCAAGTTTGACTGAGGCTGTGCCTTGCTGTTACCTCTAAAATTGAATTCATGGTTTATCATGAAAACCTTCACAGTATCTATGTAACTCTGTATAACATAATAGTTATAAGAAAAATATATTTGAGACTCTTAAAAACACACTTAACATATGGTTTTTGTAGTGCAACTTTCTAGGAAATTGGAAACTCTTTGAATATGGTAACAAAAGTCAGGCTATTTCACTTGGTAAAATAGTAACCATGTCTGGGAGAATCAGTTAAAGTTTTAAATTGGATAATATGTCTAATTGCCAAATTCTGGCTAATAGAGCAGAAAGTTAATTAAAAATTATACATAAAATCAATTATATTTCTGCACTTCTATCAATAAAACATTATTTAAATTATTTTACTGTTGACCATTTTGTGTTTTTCAAATATATTTTGATTTATGCAAAATTTCCAGAGGCTTTAATTTAATCAATTTAATCAAAGAATGAGTGTTACTTAAACCCCAAACATTTCATTTTTTTATTTTTTTAAAGATTTTATTTATTTATTCATGAGAGACAGAGGGAGAGAGAGAGAAGCAGGCTCCCAAGGAGCAGGGAGCCCGATGCGGGACTCGATCCCAGGACCTTGGGATCATGACCTGAGCTGAAGGCAGACGCTTAACTATCTGAGCCACCCAGGCGCCCTATCCTTAGTTTATTATGTATGACAGCTAATAGGTATAAGTGAATGTTAGGTATGAAAAAAAAATCATAAAAACAGTACCATAGTTTCAGAAAATTAAGTAAACCACACAAGAAAATAAAATGCATATGTGTAAAACTGAAAACGTACCTCTTGTGCTTATGTTGGTGAATAATAGCAACATTTACTGATTGCCAACCATAAGCAAGAAATTTATTATATACACTATATATATTTAATATCCAGAACAATCTAGTCAACCAAATAATATTATTATCTCTATTTTACAGAAAATTGAAGCTTGAACACATTAAGCAAATTGTTCAAAATGACCCAGATGGTAAGGGCTTAGAATTCTAAACCAGTTCTGCCAGTCTTCAAAGTCCTTATGTTTAGACTGTGTCTTTGAATATGACTGCTCATGTAAGGAATCATGGAAGAGAAAGAAAAATATATAAGGTAGATGCCATCCAAAGAATCACATTTTGCCTCGGAATCCAAAAGCATTCATGTGCAATGTTAATGACAGAAGTCAAGCATAGATAGGTAATATTTGTCGTTGGGCATTTCTGTTTGCACTGCTGCTGATTACGATTCACCACAGCATTTCTCTCATTATATTGACTTGTTGCTTAATGGACGTTTCTAGAGCCAAGCACGGCACTTACCAATAAATTTTGTTGTACTGAACTGAATATTCCCCAACTCTATTATAATCTTTGGCTTTTTTGCTTGCCCTGGAAGTATATGACTGCAGTTTGGATGTTCAGACAGTTGATTTTTTGAGACTAAAAAGAGAATTTGAGTGACATGAGGAGGGTTAGAATTTTCCACAGTTACTACAACTCAAATAATTCAAAAAAAGGTGCAAGTTGCTTATTGATTGTTTCGGTGACTTACTCTATATTTACAGAAATTATTTCCTGACAGGGAGAATATCGTCTTATATGAATTATATGAAAACAATCAATTTATATTCTCGTTAACCAGCACTTTAGTGAAAATAGAAATTTAGGAACTTCCAGCTGACATTTTTATCATTTCTGGTTTGGTCCATTATTCATCCAACCAAACATTTATTGAATGCCTACTGTGGTATGCTAAACACTACAGTGATACAACACTGAGGAGAAACGACCTTCACAGAGCTCACAGTCCAGTGGAGTAGATAGATACTAATCAAATAATGTAAACATAAAATTACAAATATGACAAGTGTTACAAAGGCAAGCAACATATAGCCATGTGAATGCATTTACTGGGAAAAACATATTTAGATTGTGACTCAGTCTTCCCTAAGAAAAGTCATTCTGGCTTGAAGTTTGGAAAGGTGACTAGGCAAGGCGGCAGAAGAATAAGGAGTGCCAGAAGATTTGTAGAAGAGCAAAGGACATGGGAAAATCTCCTGTGTTAATGGGTTTTTATTGGTTGAATTGTGTGTCTCTAAAAAAGATATGTTTAAGTCCTAAACCTCCGTATCACAGAATGTGACCCTAGTTAGAAATCGAGTTTTTATAAAGGCAACTGAGTCAAAATGAGGTCGTTAGTGTGGGCCCTAATCCATATGACTGATTTAAAGGAGAAATTTGGGAACAGAGAGAAACATGGAGAATGCCATACGAAGATGGAGGACTGAATGATGCATCTAAAGAAATCAGAAGGGGAGACAAACCATGAGAAGCTCTTGACTCTGGAAACAAAGGGAGGGTTACGGAAGGGGAGGTGGGTGGGGGGATGGGGTAACTGGGTGATGGGCATTAAGAAGGACATGTGATGTGATGAGCACTGGGTATTATACACAACTAATGAATCATTGAACACTACAACAAAAACTAATGATGCAATGTATGGTGATTAACATAACATAATAAAAAACAAAAAACAAAACAAAACAAAACCCCAAAAAACTAATGATGTTGGCTAATTGAATTAAATTAACAAAAATAAATAAAAGCCAAGGAGTGCCAAAGACTGCCAGCAAACCACAAAAAGCTAGGAGGAGGCAAGGAAGGGTTTTCTTACAGGTTTCTGAGGGAGCTTGGCCTTTGTCAACCCCTTGATTTCAGACTTCAAGCTTCCAGAACTGTTAAGACTGTAAAAATCTGTTGTTTTAAGTCACTCCATTTGTGTTACTTTGTTACAACAGCCCCAGGAAACCAGAGCTATGGGTAAGGGGGGGGGGAAGCATTGGGCACTTGAGTAATTAAAGACTACTGTAACAGAAACACAGAAAGTGAATGGGGGAAGTGGTTAGAGATGGGGTTGTACAGCAGGTTCTAGGTCTCTTGTCCTGTGGCAAGTAGGCTGAGGTGATCAGTCAGAGGAGAATAATCAGATTTTAGTATGGAGAATAGACTGAAGGAAGGAGAAGAATGGAAGCAGGGGAGTAAGTGACGTGGCTATGTTTTGGTTTCCATGAGAGGATTGCTGCTTGGAGTAGGGTGTTACCTGGAGGTTGAATTATGTTAATGGTCTGAGGAAAATAAAGGAATGTTGAAACATTGTAGAAAGGGAGAGCCAGTTGGCCAAAGAAGTAGGTACGATTGCCAGGCACTGCTGACAAGACCGATTTGAAATTGGTAATTAAGAATTCACTGTGGCATCAATATTTCCTATTCTGTGACTCTCTCCAGCAATAATAATTTGCTCGAAAGTAGGCATAAAAAATAAAAGGATCCTTGGGCTCATCCACATGAATATCCTCTGGACCCTGAGAAGAAATGGTCTAATCTGAGTTATATTATCACCTAAATGATTGTCAGTACTTTTATTTCTCCTTTCAAGAAATTCGTATCTTTGATGTGATCACATTAGCTGTTGCTAGGTTTTTGTCTGAGCTTCTCGCTACCATTTTTCCCTCACTAAACAGATTCTCAAATATGTTAGTCTCCTTGGTCTGATTATTTCATATGTAACAGCTAAGATTGGATTCTTCACTCTTCCAATTACCATATCACTTAAACAAGTTTAAAGTCACTTTTTATTATCTTTTGAGTCTGAAATTTTCAGAAGCATCCATTGAAAGCTCATATTTTTAATGCCATATTTTATCAATTTTCCTTTTCATTCTAATGAATTCCTTTACCACTTACTTTTTTCTGATATAATTGAAGGGTCTTTTCTGGTCCCTCTGATGTCTAAAATAGAATATTTTGACATAACTTTTTCAATAAGTAAGCCTTTTCCATTTTGCAATTCTTGATATCTGTCTGGTATAATTCTTCTTTTTGTTAACATTTTTATTAAGCTCTGTTTCTGGATCTTTTCATGCTTCTGCAAATTTTAAAATTTTGGTATGAAGACAGAGTGCACTCTTCAGACGGGTACTTGATTATATTAACAATGCAAAGAATATTTGCCTGAAATGACATGGGTCTGGCTGTTTTCCAATTTGCTTCTGGCCACAGTAGACAAAGTCTTAGTCTGTAGAGCCCATATATAAAATGCTATCTAGCTATTGTCTGCGCAAAGTAAAAATTAGTTGCAATAGGTGTTCATGACACATAAAATTTCAACTTCTGACCTTTGGTGCTAAGGCATTTTCTGCTTTGAGAAGTCACTAGAGAGAAATATAATCTTTTCTGAAATTGCATTTTGTAGACAAATTTTATTTTGTGCTTTTTCATAAGTGTTTTAAAGAAGCAAGAGTGAGCCAATGAATCTGTTACATTGTCTTAGTGAATTTTGAAAGGAACAAGTATTTATTGAAATGAACATATATACATACATTCAAATACATGTACACATATAATA